TCTCGAATCCGATACCTGCTAACATGTGAACAAAAAAAATTTTGAACGCTAAGTTACAAGCTCAGTGCCACATAAAAGACTCCACTATACTATATGAATTCATTAGCTACGAATGATTAGCAAGTCAAATAATATTGCAACGAAATACATCAAGTAAAAATCATGATAAAATATCATGCATCAACACACCATACAAAAGCATGTTATGGCCTTGCCATTATATCACTGAAGTGCCTTAACACTAATACTAAAGTGCCTCAACACTGATATAGAAGTGCATACGCATTGATACTAAAGTACCTCAACACTGATACAGAAGTGTATACGCACTGATACTAAAGTGCCTCAACACTGATACAGAAGTACATACGCACTGATACTAAAGTGCCTTAGCGCTGGGGAAAATTTTGGATATCTCTATTCCCTATCTCTAATCGAATATGAATACGCTCAAGTAACTTGGGTGTCATCGTTTCCTGGGCGCTAAACAAAGGCTAGTATTATGTCACATTAATAATTGTTCTTATTTTCAATAATTTCAAATGATGTTCTCACTTGTAGTCTTATGTCACACTAATAATTATTCTCATTTTCAATTCGAATCACTTGTAGTCTTATTAGAGAAGTCTCGATGCCCTCATAACCCTCTTTTTAAACCCATAAAATTAATAGAGTTTTCTTTCTAATCCAGGATGAGGGTACCGATATTGGACGTGACACTCTTGGTACTGGCCTTGTGGTATCGATACTGCCCCGAGTACTAATACCAAAATCAGTTTCGATGTTTTAGAAAATTACACAAGTATCGACACTTCCTTTGGGGGTATCGATACTACCCTGAGTATCGATACTACCTTGAGTATCGATACCAAAATTAGCTATGATATTTCAAAATAATTCCTAGTACTAATTCTCCTAGTGGGGGTATTGACACTTTGTAGGTTTCAGTAGCCACTTTTGGTACCGATAATCCCGTCAGTATCGGTACCAAAAGTGGCTACTGAAACTGATAAAGTGCCTTGGTGTCGATACTGCCCTTACAAGTATTGATACCCACCCTAAAGTTCTGATACCAATTGAATGAGTATCGATAATGTTACTATGTAATCCTATCTTTTTAAGGCTATACGAAAGACAGTGTCGATACTGCTCTTCAAATTCTGATACCCCTGCTAGAATTATCCTGTTTAGGCATGAAAATGGTTTCAAAAACACCTTCACAAGCCTCTCTAAGGCTCTCAAACATTTATTAAGTTTTATGGGTGTTTACAACATCATTATAGGTCATTTTAACATAGCAGAGACATCAAAATGCTTGTTTTCATTAAAACCCATAAAGATCCATATTTGCACCCATGAACAAAACAAGAAAGAAAACATAGTTTAATGACCTAAATATGGTAGAGGGAAGTTAGTTATATGTTATTTTAACACCATCTGGATGGAAAAACTCCCAAGATCACCCAAGTACCAACTTTTATTTGTTCTTGGCCTTTGAGCTCTCTCCAACTCTTTCACTAACCACAAGCAAATAAAGTTGTTATAATCTCGTTTTAATACTCTGAGTGAGTAGAAACATGATTCTAAGAACTTATGAACAACCTAGGAACACTACCAAACACTAAAATCTAAACCTCTCTAAACCCCCATCTTGGTCACCATGATCAAACCTCAAGATTTTGGGCTACAACAGTAAGATTTAATTGCATTATACTTCCCCAAACTATGACTCTCATTTCAAATTAGTTCTTAAACTTTTAAATATTTCAATTTCATTCTCAAACTATGATTCCCATTCTAAATTAGTCCTTGAACTTTTGAACAATCCAATTTGAACAAACTTAGAAAAAAGGTTGTTATTTTTTACTAAATAGTTTACAACCTTTATAGAGTAGTCTAAGTATAAATAAGGAAACCATCCCTAAAAATTCAGTAACTCCCTAAGAACTATAGACTAAGATTAGATCATACTGTACAAGGAAACTATAGGAATAAGGTAAGTAATTTATCCTTAATTTTAGGAATTCCAACACTCCCCCTCAATCTGAAGTGTAGATATTTATCAAACCCAGCTTTCCAACAATTTATCCAAACATGTTTCTACTCAAGTATTTGGTTAACAAGTCTGTAACTTGTTGTCTCGTAGGTAGGTAACACAAACCGCTCTCGAGTTCATTTTTCTTTAATGAAGTAGCGATAAATTTCCACATGGTTGGTGCGATTGTGGTGAACAAGATTATGTGCTATACTAACAACTGCATGGTTGTTACAATGTATTTTTATAGGGATAAATGACTATTTTTTTTATTTCTCCAGATTCTTTCGCATATACCATGGGATAATGCTCAATAATCTGCCTCTACACTGCTGCGTGTGACAAAAGACTATTTTTTATTTCTCCATATTACAAGATTATCCCAAACTTAGCTACAGTAACCACTTGTAGAACGTTAGTCGTTAACAGCACCTTCCAGTCAGCATTAGTGTATACTTCTACACTTCGGTTGCTAGTTTTATTGAAGTGCAGACCTGTACCCAGAGTCCGTTTGACATACCTTAATATCTAGTATGCAGCTTCGAGATGTTTCTCCCTTGAAGCATGCATGTACTGGCTGATAACACTTACATTGAAAGCTATGTCTGGACGAGTGCAAGATCGACATATAAGTGTCTCTACTAGTCGTTGATATCTTCCCCTATAGATATCTTCTCCACCCTGATCAGTTCCCAATTTAAGATTGAATTCCATAGGAGTTTTGATTGGTTTGCATCCCAACAAACCAACTTTCAAAAGAAGATCGAGAACATACTTTCTTTGAGAGATGGAAATAACTGCCTAGACCTTGTTACTTCCATTCCAAGAAAATATCTAAGATTCCCCAAGTCCTTAAGTTTGATTTAGCATTAAGAAACTCTTTTATCCTTTTAATTTCGCTTAAGTCATCCCCTTTTAATATTATATCGTCCACATAGACAATGAGAATGAATAATTTTTCACTTTTTGAGTGTTTGTTGTTTTTGAGAATGCATCATAAGGTCCAATATAGTGTGGAATTAATTTTCCCTTTTGGTCAAACTGAAGGACTTTCCTCTAAGGTGATACCTTAAAAATCACCTTGTCACTTACAAAGAACTCTGTGTTCTTCCATTTCAGATCAACATAAGATTTCTGTCTGTTGAAAGCTTCTTTTAGCAGTCCTTGAATCAGGCCTACCTTTTCCTCTATCTCTCAAATCAACTTCGGACCAACCAATTTCTTCTTGCTAAGTTCGGTCCAACACAAGGGAGTCCTATACCTTCACCCATACAATGCTTCGTATGTCACCATCTGAATACTAATTTTGTAGATGTTGTTGAATGTGAACTTAACTAATGAAAGGTGGTCCTCATAACTACCCGAAAATTCAATGACACAATATCGCAATATATCCTTGAGAATCTAAATCACCCTCTCGGACTGTACATCCATATGTGGGTGGAATGCAATGCTAAAATGTAGCAGAGTACCCAAAATTTCGTGTAACAACCTCTAGAATCTCGAAGTAAACTATGGATCTCTATTAGAAATGATTGATGTGGGTACCCATGAAGTCTGACGACTCCTTGATGTAGAGTTGCTCCAAACTTTCCAAGGTAAAATCTATTTGTACTGGTAGAAAATGGGTTGATTTGGTTTATCGGTCCACCACTACCCAAATGATATCATACTTTTGACGATTCCTCGGTAACCTAATAATAAAGTCCATGATCACCTAACACATGGCCTTAATATAATTTAATTGAATATAAAATTCAATCAATGGGAATTTCCAAAATTGTTATTAATGAATATTGATAATTACCTTAGGCCATTGCAATATATTCCATTAAAAATTTCCTTAGTCAAATATGAACTAATTTTTCTTTGACTTCTTAGTTTGGCCATGCAATTTTAAAAAATTGAATTTTAATCACTAATTTCTCAATTTTTGGCCAAATATGAAAATTGACTTCAATTTCAATTCCATTGATCCATGCAAAATTTATTTGATCTACAACATGGAAATAATATTTTCAACCTTTATCTAACATCCTTTAAATTTTTGAAAAATTCTAGTTCAATCTGATTATTCGATTCTATACCAAAATTTACTGCTTTATAGCTTTTAATACAAATCCCATATCAAAATTTTGATTCTCACAAAAATTCTAATTTTTGTAAAAATTATCCATTTATGGCCCAAAATATATAACTTCTAAAAATTATATTTTTATCCCTAAACTTTTACAAAGTTTATACTTTAGCCACCAAACTTTCAAAACATACACTTTTCTCACTAACCAAATTTTTGGGTATTACATTGGCTTTCCATATACTCTTTTGTCTAAGCATCAATAGATGATAAAGTAGAAGTTTGGGCTGAAGATTATCCTTGATAAGTTTGCCTTTGTTGCGGTTAAGCAACTGAATGTTATGTTTGTGGTTGTGATATTGGTATTAGTTGCTACTAATTATAATGTTGTGGCTGATAATGTTGTTGTTGCGGATTAGAAATGTTCTGACTTCTCCAAGAAAGATTAGGATGATTCCTAAAATTAGCATTATATGTGTTGCAGGAAGCATTGTCATTCATTTGATAATTTTGCACGTAGTAAACGAATTTCAAATTTTGGGGGCATTCATCGAAGTTATGACTATCTCTACAATAGACACAACTGATGAGAGATGCAACCTTGACCTCATATATTCCCCTAGTATTTCTAAATTCTTCACCATATCCATCAATGCTGAAATTTATGATGCATCTGAATTGAAAGCTTCATAATCTACTACTGCAACATGGAGACGGCCAAACATATTCCTAGTATTAGGGTACTGGCAATCATTAGTTGATATCCTCTCTAGAATATCATAAGCTTCTTTATACGTTTTATCTAGCAATGCTCGATTTACTAAAGCATTGACCACCATACGAGTATGTGTGTTTAACCCATTGTAAAACATTTCCATTTGAGTCAAAATGCATAGGATAATTCCTCTGCAAATCCTTGAATCTTTTCCACGCTTCATACAAGCTTTCATCCTCTATTTGCTTGAATGAAGTTAAATCATTTCAAAGTTTGGCATTCATGTTTGGCATGTTAAATCATGGAAAACAATTATGTGCTAACTCATTCTATGATGCTACAGCACCTGGCGGTAGTAAACTTAACGAAGCCCTTGCTTTATCACACAGTGAATAAGGAAATAGCTTCAGCTTCAGTTCTTCTTCAGGAACACTTGATGAATAAATGAATCAAAAACCTCCATGAACTATCTCAAATGAGCCCTAGGATCTTCAACAATAGAGCCTTTATTTTTTCCCATAGATTTTAGCATTTGGAAATTACCAGCTTCAACTTGAAGTTCGCAGCATTAATCATTGACCACACTATGCCCGGATACAAATCATCTAGTGTTGGAATTACATGTTCTCGGATAGGTCGGTCACGATCATTCATATTATAAAATGGTTGTCTCGCCCCATTGCTAGCGGGCAACTCAACATCCTCTCCATTCTGCGGTGGGGGTAAAACATCATTCCCTTGTCCAGCTATAGTTGTTCGATTCCATACAAATTCACGGTGATGTATCCTAAAAGTCCACTCAATCTCTGGATCAAATGGACCTAATTCGTCGTCACTGCGAGGTATGAACGAGTAGAAATGAAAGCTAAAAAGTACATACAAAACAAAATAACAAAATATGCTAAATAAGAAAAACTGTAAATCAAATTGATGCTCCCCAACAACGACACAAAAAACTTGATGATGTGTTAAATGTTATAACTTAAGTGAAAGTATACACCAAGGCCCAAGTAATAAGTGCTAGCTGAAAGAGTTATAAGTATCGTATCCACAGAGAGCAAAATGTTGTCATTAAAGTCTCAATTTTAAATAATTAATGAGTATGTAAAAGATGTTATCTAAATGAGATAAAAAAAAAGTTATGAAAGACCAAGTCATGCTATAGTACTATAAAGAGCGTCAAGTCATCAATCGAATAGCGTGGAATAAAATAATGTAAATCATACTTTAAGTAGGAAGAACATACTACCTCTATGTGATTAGCAATGATTAAAACCCTTCAAACTACTCTAATCAATTTCATTAATTAATGGATTGAAAGTATTAACAAAGCTAAACAATTGGATGTATGCTTTTCAACATACACACTGTTATGTAGAACTCCAATGATATCAAAAGTGCACAACAAAACTTTATTTCTAGAAAATTAATTGAAAAATCATAAATTAATCGTTGATATTTATACTAGTAATCATGAAGTAAATAACACATAAAAGTAGTTGCAATACAAACTTAAAGTAATTAATCCAAAATATCATCCACAAAGTTTATAAACATCAAATCATACCCCCTCTCAACTGTAAGCTTTGTATTGTGATCTGCAGACTGTCAATGCTTCTCAACAAGCTCTCTTTATGCTATAACAAACCTTGTAGGGGGCTTAAGCTTCCATGGCATATGGTAGTTTAACGTGGAGATGAGTACTTTTCAAATGGTTTCCAATCAATCTCTAAGCTTGCAAAGTACTCCCATTTATAGTTTTGAGGAGATTTTCATCCTCGAATAGATTACTTCCACGTTTCAGGTGGTTTCTAGCCCATTGACAACTGCCCAAGCCAAATGCCCATCCAGAAAGTTCTCCTAACCATTTGGAGATTCATCAACTGATACATTATCCACTCAGTATTTCTTGCAATGATACAATACCAGTGTAACATTTTCGCAATATTAAAATTTAACTTTAGCTCTAGGCAACCCACTAAATGCAAAATATGCAAAAATAAACAAATATGATCCTAAAATGCTCCTAAAAATGTGTAAGTTCAAACCAAGCCTTGGTGAAAAAGGCTACTAAAGATAACTCTTTTGAAAAATTATCAGCTCCCACTCTATTACGGATTGAATCTTTTGTGGATAAACTTGAATACCCTTAGCGGTCACCACGTAGTCTAAGAAGGATGGCCCGGACAACCAAAACTCACATGTGCTGAACTTTGCCTACAACTGATGATCTTTAAGCATTTAGAGCAAAATTCGGAGGTGATGGTCATGATCTTCATCTAACTAAAAGTAAATTAAGATGTCATCGATGAACAAAACAACAAATTAGTTTAACTAAAGGTGGAAAACTCGATTCATTAAGTCTATAAAAGTTGTGGGTACATTGGTAAATCCAAATGGCATCACTAAGAATTCATAGTGACCATACCTAGTCCTAAGCATCATCTAGGCCACATCACCCACTTTGACTGTCAACTGGTAGTAACCCGACCTCAAATCTATCTTAGAGAACACTCTAGCTCCTCTGAGCTGATCAAACAGATCATCAATTCTCGTAAGTGGATATTGATTCTCGATCTTTAACTTATTTAGTTACCGATATTCGATGCATAACCTCATCAACCCATCTTTCTCTTTTACAAATAACACTAGCACTTCACATGATGATATACTAGGAAATATGAACTCTAAATCCAATAGATGTTTAATTTGATCCTTAAGCTCTTTTAACTCAGTCAGTACCATGGTATACAGAGCGATGGACATCGAGGTCGATTCAGGTAGCACTTCGATGTTGAATTCTAACTCGCAATATGGCGGTAATTTGGGAAAATCCTCTAAAAATAACTCGGGGAAGTCTCTCATAATACAGATGTCTTCGAGCATTGATCTAGAAACTATAAATGCCTCGTAGCCCTGACTAACCAATCTCTGAGTGGCTAAGGTGGAGATGATTCTAGAAGTTCTACGAATCTGATTACTGGTCACCACCACTTTGGCACTATCCTCGTGTCTAACTTTGAGTTTCCTAGTCTTGCATCATGCTTGTCAACCACTCCATCCCAAGGATTACATCAAACTCACGAAAGGGTAATACTATAAGATCAACGAAAAAGACTTGGCCCTGTAACTCTAAATGAAACCTACAATGGACCTTGTCCACAAACACATCTAGTCCTAAGGTGATCGAAACCCTAACCTTAACCTCAATGTCCTCGACCGGAATACCTCACTCTTAGAAAAGTTCACGAAAAAAATATGAATGAGTAGAACTACGATCAATAAACGTAGTAACCTATGTGCCATAAATAGTAGAGATATCAAAGATAACATCTGTTGGCTCCCACTTCACCGGGGCCTTCATTGCATACTGCCTCGAAGTGACCCTAGCCTCAGTTCCGGCTACTAATCTAGAAGTGCACATTCTCTGCTGCCTGATGTTGAGCTACCATCTTTTTGGACAAATCCTTGACCCCTCTAAACTGCCTAATTTGATCTCTAAGAAACTGGTGGTGATACGCTGACTGCCTAGGGGTAATATTGAATGAAGTTCTCCAGAGACCCATAACCTAAGCATGCCTTTAAATGTCGGTGGCACTCTCAAGTGTGCCACTTTCCACAATGGCCACATTGAGGGGTTATGATCCTCTACCAGAACCTTCGTTGCTCACCATTGAGCCCGATGTTAAAGGTCTCTTGTGATGCTCTAATCTTGGGTGAAGTCCTGAACTCTTCCTGGTCCTTCAAGACTACGACGGTGGGGATCTCCTCACTTCTTAAAAGTCATTGACCCTCTTCGCTGAAGGCTTAGATAGTCTTACAGAATTTTGTACTTTCCGACTCTAGCCTCTAGAACTACTGATCAGATTATCCCTCCTCAACTGAACCCTCTAAATTGCCTTAGCCTCACGAGTTAGCTCTGCGAAAACTCTCGAGAGATCAACAGCCAAGTGCTTGAGGATGTCAATATGGGGTCTTTCTCTAAACCTTCTACAACGATTATCCTTCATCGCCACCAACTTAGGTACGTAGTAACTCAATCGAAGAAAGTCACGCTCATACTCCATCACAAATCAGTCTTCTTGGACTAGATGGGTAAACTGGCCTCTCAGATCATCTATATGAGCCTCCCCAATATACTTATGCCTGAACTGTTCCAAGAAGTCCTCATATATTGGTATGGTAGACTCTAAATCTAGATCAATTGTCTGCCACCAGTCAGTGCCATCGTCCTTCAGCAGCATGGTGATGCACTCAAGCTTACCCTCCGGGGTAAGTTGTAACTATCTCATGGTACGGAGTGCCTTACGGAACCACTGGTAAGTGATTATAGGTCAGTGAATATAGGGCCATCATCTCGTGTGCCAAATAAGTATGTGGTCTTATAACGTCAAAGTCACTCTACCAGTGACTCATGGGGTACTATAGATGATGGTGGTATGGGTGGGGTAGATACAATGGGTGTTCTCAAAATAGTTGGGACAATATTCCTAAGGGAAGTTGTGAAGTCTCTGAAGAAGGTGGCATCCTTGATCCCTGCATCCTTCTGGAGGCCCATCTCCTCGAAGTCTATGAAATACTCATCTCCAGTATCTCCAGTGAGAGAGACGTGAGTTTCATTGTGACCCTCTTGGCTGTGAGTTTGGTAGTTTTCCATAACCTACAGAGTTTCAAAGAAGGGAGTTATTATCCTCATTCTGGACAACCAAATATACTAACACTTGATGGGCATGTACACCACTGACTCTTATTGACTCTATCACGCTGGTCCTAGGAATGACTGAACTTGACTCTCTGATACCACTAAATGTAACATCTAAATTTGATCTGACCGAAGTTTGATGGGTTAGAATATTATATATGACCATCGAAGTGGCTAACCCATAAGATTTCTTGAAAACATTTAAATTTCTTAACATAAACCAGTCAATAAAAATAAAATGAAATATAAGAAAAAAATAGTCAAGTTTATAAAATAAATTAACTCCTAAAATAATCTCAAATACAATAAATGTCAAGTGTTATGACTCGATTAATACAAGGGTCTATGAAATACATGCCCACTAAAGAAAATCAAGACATACTCTGTAACTGCTGATATATGGAATCTAACTGTTTAACGATAGCTCTCAAATTTTGCACCTACTAGCATACGAACGAAAACAATTTCGAACAGTGAGCTACAAGCACAGTTCCATATAAATGAATCCACTATATTACATGCATTCATTAGCTACGAATTCTTATCAAATCAAATCATACTGCAATGAAATGC